AAAAGCACAAATAAATCAATAACAACTTATCTTAATCACATTAACACCAAATCAAGCATAAAATTAACTAAGATTATATTGAACTAATTTAAACTAAATTATTATTAAAATTAAGCCCAAATAATTCGATATCATAGAGTTATCACAAATCCAAACTTAATATTTTACTAGTCCACGAGCAAAACATAAAAAAAAAACTAACTTATGAAAATTAAATTCAATTAATGAAAACTAAAATAAATATAGTTACTACTACTACTAGAGATAAAGTTCACTAACTCAATGATCTCCTATAATTTCCTCAAAAGTATATGCATCAATCATTATCTTAAGGAAAATTATAGGCATCATTCAAATTCATGTTTCAATTCCAATGCAAACACATTCTCAAATGGATTTTCATATGTGTGTGAAATTTTTTACCAGAATATCATGATATCTGGATAAATTTATACCAACACAAAAATTAAATTAGTACTAAATTTTATAAGTTTACTTTTCATCTATCTCCCCACTAATGTAGACCAAAACAAAGCTAGGGATCAATAGAATTTTATAAAGCTTGTAATGTATAGCTAGAGTCAAGGTAGGATAAAGGATATTAATGTAGCTCAAATCACCCTAAATTCATAATTATTCTAAGACCTATCTACAGGGCTCTATTTTCCTTATCTTAGTACACTTTTTCTTCCACATTTGAACTTTTCATTTTTCTCAACATTTTTTTCTTTCTTTTTTTTTCAACACAATTTTTTTTCATAATTTCACACTCATAAACTTATTTCTTTTCTATCGTAGGTAGTGAGGTTACTTTTTATATTTTGAACTTTTATTTTTTTTTTCACATCAACATCACCTTTCCATTTTTTTCAACATTTAGCTCAATCTATATTTTCTAAAACAATATACAGGCTTAAGAGTGAGGGTTGCAAAATTAAAAAATGTTATTTTAAGGCTAAATTTAATTATTATGTAGTTCAACAAAAAAAAAGGAACTTATGCTTAAAAGGGTATACTAAGGATAAAAATTTAATAAGGTTGGTCTTTTAGGCTCCAATAGTTCAAAGATAACCTAAATAAGCTCCCTAACTAATTATTGCTTAAGATTTCATCTCGAGAAAAAATTCAGCAAATTCTAGAATTCATGATATAATCTAAAATTCACATCAATATAAATCTTCTCTAGATATTCATAATAATTCAAAGTAAAAGATATCATGCTCAAAATTGTGGAAATCACATTTTAACAATGATACTTAACAAAAGCATTTAGCATGAATCTAAATAAAAACCTTATTTACCAAAAGCTAAGAATTCAATACAACTAGTTATCATCATTGAACAGGGAAATCATCGAAAAAATTAACACAACTTTACTCGAAAATCCTAAAATTCGAAGAAATAATAAATTCATTTACCAACTAATCCTAAATTATTTATAAATTTAGATAAAGATGTAAATAAAATTAATTCACAAAATATTTACCACCTGAAAAATAAATTCACTCTCTTAAACTTAAACTAAACATTGTCCTTAATATTTGAAAAAAAAAAAAAAAAAAG